ACACACACACACACACACACACACACACACACACACACACACACACATATATATATACATAAATTTTAATGAATAAAATTCATTTTATTGTTGACAAATTAAAAAAAAATTCAATAGTATAATGTTAAAAGTTGCATTCAAAGTATGAATATAGAACTCTCTTTTACATTAGAAACAAAAATATTTGTTGGATATCATTTTCTCGCGTATATTTCATCGAACAATATTAATATACAATGATAAATTATTTTTAATCGTAGATTAAAACATAAATCGATCGTAACGTTATAATTTATCGATAATCATTTTTCTACACATAGAGCTAAATTCAGTAAGTCTCCTAGAAATAAATAAAGTATCAGTTCAAAAAGAAGAATAAAAAGAAAATCAATTTTCAATTGATTAGATATGTGGAGATACGATAGGACAAGCTCTTCTTTATTATCGCGACAATGTCAATTAAAAAAAATATTCATTCATATTCTTGTGGTCGAATGACATAAATAGTTTTATCACAGCTGAATCGATCGAACATCCGAGCCTGCGTGCTAACGGAGGCGCCATGCGACTTCTTCGTAGATTTCAGCGTCCGTCGTAATCTCGTTCGTTGCAGTTTAGATTTTGTCATAATCGGTCAAGCCTCGAACAATTGTGAATCGAAACGAATATAATCAATTCCACGTAAGTAGAAAATATAATTTATTAAACGTACGATTAGCGGAATGGCAATGCGTTTGCCAAACAAACGTCCATTCTCAAATGTTCCTTATCAGTACGATAATCAGCAGTTTTGACATTTGATTCACGAAAATTTGTAAACTCGAGAACGAATTACTCTAGTAAAACGCATTGCAATTTGTAAGGAATGTAATATATGTTCGACAAGAAAATTCTAAAAGGAAGTTATGTTTAAAATAAGTGAAAATGCCATCGGTACGCCGAATGATCCTCGGACACGTTATGTCCGGTTTATGTACCAAAATGAATCGCACGAAAAAACTCCAAGGAGATATACTTGAAACTCCAATGAAAAGATGTCTTTCCACCTTCGATATCACGCTACTCGGTAAGCATATACTTTTATACGTTATTTCAACCGTAAGGACATGCACGACCACCATATCGCGATTTCTCGTATACGCGATAAAGTAGTTTCCAAACCGGAATGATATAATTGCACACCCGTAGTGTAACGTTTCCGACTTCCAGAAATTCTCACTTTGCCCTCGATATTTGCCTCGTATACAAATTTATATATTTACATAAATTTATCTTCCAGGCGTTGGTCATATGGTTGGCGCTGGAATCTACGTTTTAACAGGAACGGTAGCTCGCGACACGGCCGGCCCAGGCGTAGTTTTAAGCTTTCTACTCGCCGGCATAGCCTCTCTATTGGCAGCGTTGTGCTACGCCGAATTCGGGGCACGGATCCCGAAAGCTGGTAGCGCTTACGTTTACACGTACATTTCTGTCGGCGAATTTTGGGCTTTCGTAATCGGATGGAACATTATATTAGAGCACATGATCGGTAAAGACGATTTCTTTATTTAAATATTATAATCGATCGATAGACTTCATCGTGGAACTTTTGCATCCGGAAATAGGCGCGGCATCCGTGGCAAGAGCTTGGAGCGGATATGTCGATTCTTTAGCGGGGGGATCGATCAGCAATTACAGCCGTCGAATAATGCACGGATACACCATGGCAGAACCGCTTGGAAGTGTTCCAGATGTTTTGGCCGCCGCACTCTGCCTATTTTACGCGATGCTGCTAACGTTGGGCGTTAAGAGCTCGGCGACGGTTAACTCCTTGCTCACCATCGTAAATTTAGGTGTGATGGGATTGGTGATCGGGTTAGGATTCGCCTACGCAAAACTTTCCAATTGGGGTTGCGAGCACGGAGGGTTCTTGCCCTACGGATTCACCGGTGTATTAGCAGGTATTCCTCCCCTTCCCTATTTATTTAATACGAATACTCTTACTTTTTTCTTTTACTTCTTCATATATCATAGGCGCTGCGACGTGCTTCTACGCGTACGTCGGCTTCGATTCCATCGCTACTTCCGGGGAGGAAGCACGCGATCCTGCATACAGTATACCGCGTGCAACCTTGTTTTCGATGACAATCGTGACTGTTGGCTACGTGCTGGTTGGCGCCGCTTTAACCCTGGTCATACCTTATTGGAAGATCAATCCCACAGCGGCCCTTCCCGAGGCTTTCTCGTCGATTGGGATACCGTGGGCCAAATACGTGATAAGGTACTCAGAGAATAATAATAATAATAATAATAATCTATAATAATCCTAATAAATATCTTAATTTTAATACAACAGTATCGGGGCGTTGTGCGGAATGACGACAACTCTGTTCGGCTCGTTGTTCTCGTTGCCGCGGATAATGTACGCGATGGCGAACGACGGTCTCCTGTTCGGCTTCCTCGGCCACATCAACACTCGCACCCAAGTCCCCGTCCTCAACCTTGCCATCAGCGGTTTCCTCAGTGCCTTGATCGCCCTCCTCTTCGACCTTCAACATTTGGTCGAGTTTATGTCCATCGGCACGTTTCTGGCCTACACCATCGTCTCAGCGAGCGTGATTATCCTGAGATACCGGCCCGAGAAGGTCACGCCCTCCCCCTCGAACGCGGGCACACCGAGCAGTTTAACATCCCCGCCCACAGAGGGCGCGGACTCGAACAGCGATTGCAACAGCGTCACGTCCGCCGAATCCGAGGTACGCGATTTTTCTTTTAAATTTTTCAAGATAAATAAGGGAGAAACGTAACAAATGGTACAGCTTCTAGATCTGAGCGAAGGGACCGGTAAACTTAAATCACGATACATTTGGCTCGCCAACTTTTTGGGCAGTTGTAAGCCGGGGGATGTGGTGACCGGTTCCGTGATGATATACACGGCCGGTTGCATCTCCTTGTGCTTCTTGTTCATACTCATATCTCAAACGTACTTCGCACCCGCGTTGTGGGACTACTTCGTTCTGGCTAACGTCGTCCTCTTGTTGATCGGAAGTAAGCGATCGAATTTTCTTTTATATGTATATATATATATATGTATATGTAATTCGTGAACTTCGTTGTTCAGGTCTTTTCGTTATCATCGCGCACCAGCAATCCCCTCCCACTGGTAAATTCCGCGTGCCAATGGTACCCGTGATACCGGCCCTCAGCATCTTGTTCAACATAGGGCTGATGTTCCATTTGTCGCTTTTAACGTGGCTACGATTCCTCGTGTGGATGGTCGTCGGTAGGTTGGCCCCGATCGATCCCGTTCGAATCGTGAGGAAAATTATTGAAACGGATTGATCGATTTGTTTATACAGGGATGCTGATATACTTTCTGTACGGGATCCACTACAGTAAAGAGGCGGCCAGCCCGAACTCTTACTCGATCCTGATGGCAACCTCGGAGGCGGGCAGGGGCGCGAAATGGGGCGCCACGTTACGGGTGAATCAGAAGAGCGACAAAGTCCCGATATTAAACGAGGAAGATTTCGTGCATTAGAGTTGAGGGAACTGTGTGTAAAAGATATGCCAATCGACGCTGAATGTAAGTAAATTATATTACGTAGAGATAGGAAGAATTAAAAAGAAAAGAAAAAAAAAAAAAATAAAATAAACTCGACCATTGTTCTATGCACGTACGTACGTACGCCGAAATTTGAAATTTAAGTGATATATCGAGGGATCTTTGTACATACCAATAGCGAAACCGTTTAAGTAAAATGCTAATTGTTGCTAATCCCTTTTAAGAAGCTTCTTTCGCCTGAAAAAAAACAAAAAAAAAAATTAAAACGATTCAATTGTGGAAGGATCTCGGGGTAGGCAAGAGTTGAATGATTCTTCGACGAATAGGTCCCACTTTATTTTTGTATATCAGTCAATCAGACGTTTTGTTGAAAAATGTAACTTCTTCATCTTGTGTATGTATATTTTATTCCGCGCACAAGTTTAAAGTGTATACAGCCCTTTTACATTTTACAGGTTTTACATTAATTAAAACGTCTTGATATCGATGATGTAGGTACGCAAAATTGAATTGTATGTATGCCGATTGTATGTACATTGAAACGAATTTTATTTGTATGTACAAAATGCATAAGAAACTAAATTTAATTGAAAAAAAAAATAATATATATATATATACATATATATAAAATACAATAGTATGATTTAGTCGATTATATTAAGAGAGGAATGATATATCAGTATTTTCAGTAATTTAATTTAATTGAACGTCATATCTGATCGGTTTGGAAAAATTCGGGATATTTGGTGAATTATTGATCGAAAATCAAAACGTAAAAAAAAAAAAAAATTATATATATATTTTCAAAGGCCAGATTAAAAAAGAAAAAGACAACACGCAGAGCATTTTATAAAAAAAAAAATGTTGTTAATGCTCTGCAAGGATCGAAACATGGTGCCTTGGGAACGGATAGACTAATTATATACAGTAAGATGTACGAATCTAAAAGCATGACAATAGATTCGCCTGTTATATGGCGAACGATTAAATTTAAGATTAATTATACACGGATTTGCTAAGCACGTGGATTGCCTTGGTGGGCGATATATCATCGTTACGCGTATAACTCTGGAATAACTTTTCATTTTTTTATTTGGTAAACCTCTCTCAAGAACAAGTTTCACTTATTGCACCAATTTAAACCAATTTGATCGTAGCGATTCTGATAAAATCAGAATTTTATTCCGAGACTACTCTCCTCTAGGATTGATACACCGTTCCTGATACACCAATTTATTCACGATCTCTCTTACGTTAAAAAAAAAAATACGTAATATAAATTTTATGTATTAAAGAAACATCGATTATCGCGAAAAATCTAAAGAAAAAAAAAGTTAAGTTCGTTTCGATTTAATTAAACGACTAATAGCGTATATTATTTTGACAGTCCTCCGCTCAGCAGATCCAGCAAGGATCGACTACCGTAGCAGATAATGTAATCGATGTTACATAAGAAAGTATATTGCGGTAATCTTAAAAGATTGCCGCGTATCGTCAAAGCGACGTAGATATGTTATATATATATATAGATGAAGAATATCGTAGCAAACGCCATAATTACATCTTACGTAAGATTTAAGGTGATACATTTACGAGGAGAATGTATCGCTTCGGACGAGTCACGGGCGAATAGCTTGCTCTATTCTTTTTCAAGACTCATCGATGTAACACGGTCGATGTGGAAACTTTAGATTTTTCGTTCCAATATTCCAATATTTCTTCCAGCTTTCTGCAAATTTGTACAGATTTTTTTTTCCATACACGAAATTCCGTCTGGAGCGATCCATCTTTAAAATAGATAATGTGTAAAAAGGGAAAATTCAATTGAAACAGATTACGCAGATATTTTCTTCGAAAAGATGAAGTTCAATTATCGCACAATTGCAAGTACAATAGCAACGTATGCGCAATTATTGAATTGTATATACAACAGATTTAATTATTGGTGAATCACTGGTGGATACGTACAAAATTACGGCAGTCGTTAGGAAGGCGTT